CCCAATCAACTGATCAAGCGGACGCTGACTGACTCTCGCATAACATATATCCACCCACGCCAACAACACCCCGATGAACGGACGAGCGCGCAGGCTCAGCGCTTGCCGCACGCCGGAGCCTCTGGCTGCCATTGCGCTTCTTTATAGAATACCTGACCCCTGCTGATGTCTTTTCCCCTTTTCTCCTTCAAAGCGGAATTGAGTCTGATGATTGTAGTCTTCTGACAACAAACATGGTCTAGAAGCTATAGGGATATAAGACTAGTTGGCAGTTATCATCTCAAATCTTCTCCTTGTAAAGTACTCTGTGTATCGAGATCAGCATATTGCTACTAAGATTGTTTAAAATTAACGCTGTAGATGTCAGCGCCAAAAGCTTACTTGAGTCTTTAAAGTAAACCATATGAAAGGATTAGGCAAGCTCCAGATCCTGTATATAAGAGTGATGGTAAGGTGTTTTTAAGACTTTTAAAAATCTCGAAAGCTTGTTTTTCTCACATGCTTTGGTATCACAAATTGTTCTTTTTTCTCCTGAGTAGACATTTAATGCTGATCACTGTACTAACATATCTGTCAGCGATTAAAATTTAAGAAATTAATCACATCCGTATAAAACTAAGTGAATGACAGGTATGAGTAAAATTTGCAAACCCACTTTATGTGGAAAATAGTCTTCCCGGACATGAGCTGTTTTTCTTTGTTCGTGACCCTAGTACCTGGAATATTCGTGTCGGACATGAAGTGACTCAGAAGTCGCAAGCACTTCGACGATTCCCACTAGCAACGAAAATAGAAGCTGAGACATAACCTCAAATAGTCGCCTTGGACTCCGAGTCTGAGAAAGTTTATTCGGCAGCTCCTCGTCAAATAACTCAATCCCACCAATCATAAATTTGACGCCTTTACACCACATCCGTACCACCTGGCCTCCAGTGTCTCCGAGGCTCCGCTGTCCTGCGCCTGCACGTCTGGCTTTCAACTAGGCCAAGTTCTTATAGATGCTAGGGATGAGCATTGTCCGTCGGTATAAGAACACGCGAGCCTCCTACCCTGCACATAATTCTCAAGGCCACCACTGATGACTGACGTTCCCGTGATGTCGTCGTGGTCTTA